AACACAAACACAAACACACAACTGTCAGAAAACACACAAACACATGACGGGAAACAGCGAGTCCCTCTGAACTGGACCCTTTATGAAACTTGTATATATATTGTCCACACAAGTCACAGTATATCTCAGCACATTTGTTCATACATGACAAATTACAAATGCAAACATTATGTGGTTTCCAATGTGTCACAACTATTTTAGGATTTGATCTTAAACATTTACAATGAAGTGATGATGATGAAATGAAGTGATTTTGAGTGATTTTTTAAACAAATTCTGTAGTTTGTAAGTTTCTTGTGCCGTGCTTCTTTTACATTATTTTCAGAGCAGATATAGTCCGGTTCCTTATGTACTTTTGTGGGAATTTTTGGGGGATTTGCTAAACTATAAATTTTTGGAAAGGTTATAGTTTATGGAATCAGAAAATCAATGTTTGCATTTGCCCAGATGTCTGTATCGCCGCCAAAAGACCCTTTTTAACCCTAACACTTTTTGGAATATCTCAGCCTCTGAATAAGTTGAAATGTTGATTTTAACTGCTAAACCCACATTTTCAGGGTCAGAGAATCAAATGGTGCAAGTTACAAACCTGTAAGACCTACCCACATTAACCCTTAGATGAATAAGTGGGTCAAAAATGACCCAGTTTGGTTGTTTTCTTGCAATTTCACTGTAATATTCACATGTAATACTCCATGTTCCTCCAAAAACATGTTTTTTTTAAATTATCCTGTTGAAATACTTCAACAATATGGGTAAAACAAACTATAAACATCACATGCAGCTGGTCAGAAAACTCAAAGAGTTTAAAAGTAGTTCACATAAAATTTGGATGTTGAATGTCAACACACGTATTTAGACACAAGCTTTTTATTAGACAAAAACATATAGATTAGCAAATCCCCCAAAAATTCCCACTAAGGTTAAAAAATGAGAATAAGGAACCAGAATAGTAAGGAAATAATTCATATTTCTTCACAAATCAAGAGTTACAGATGCTGTAGGTCATGGGGAAGTAAAAATTATTTAAAATACTATTTCAAAATAAAGTTCTGTGAGCAAATGAGGATTATATGATATTACAGACTGAAAAAATGTGTGTCGCTTCAGGAAAATCTGTAAAATCACATAAACAAGACCCAACATTTGGTCTGGTACATTCACATTTCATTTTATTCTGATATAGAAGCAGATTTTCTAACTCGATACATCACAGTGATGCGGCCAACTAAAGTCCGGAGAGAACGTCCTCCCTCTCCCGGGCACAGCAGCTACTCGTGAGGCGCCCAAGAGAAGGAGACGCCCGGAGAGAGGAGGGGGACGTTCAAGCCGACAGAATGGGACTTTCAAGCCAAGGGGACGCTCGAGACAGTATTCAAAAATACACTTGTCTCGCCGCATTGAACTCAAGAATCAAAACTTCTGTGGAATATTGTCTAGAAATACCAACTCTGAAGGGGAAATGGTTTATTTTTACAATAAACTGTATTGAACACGTCACATTGATCCACACTCGCTTAGTCCACTTTTTTACACAGTCGATGTGTTAAACCAAAAAACATTTTTAACGCCTCACATCACATGGAACAAAAACTGACACAAAGTAGGAGACATAAACTAAAGGGTTGGTCCTGGTTTAGTCCTGATTTAATCCTGGTTTAGACCTGGTTTAGTCTGATTTAGTCCTGGTTTATCCTGGTTTAGTCCTGGTTTTGGACCTAGTTTAGTTCTGGTTTAGTCCTGATTTAGTCCTGGTTCAGTCTTGTTTCAGTCCTGGTTTAGTCCTGGTTTAGTCTGGTTAGTCCTGGTTAGTCCTGGTTTGGTTCTGGTTTAGTCCTGATTTAGTCCTGGTTCAGTCCTGGTTTCCTAAGTCCTGGTTTAGTCCTGGTTTAGTCCTGGGTTTAGTCCTGGTTAGTCCTGGTTTAGTCCTGGTTTAGTCCTGGTTTAGTCCTGGTTTAGTCCTGGTTTAGTCCTGGTTTAGTCTTGTCCTGGTTTAGTCCTGGTTTAGTCCTGGTTTAGTCCTGGTTTAGTCCTGGTTTAGTCCTGGTCCTGGTAGTCCTGGTTTAGTCCTGGTTTAGTCCTGGTCTAGTAGTCCTGGTTTAGTCCTGGTTTAGTCCTGGTTTAGTCCTGGTTTAGTCCTGGTTTAGTCCTGGTTTAGTCCTGGTTTAGTTCTGGTTCAGTCCTGGTTTAATAATTCAACCACAAAGACGATACAGAACGATCACACCAAAGAATTTGATAGTAGTAATAGTAGTAGTAGTAGTACTTTTTTCCACAATCAATTCACAACAGGTCAGTGAAGTGTCTTGCCCAAAGGCACACAGACACACACACACACACAGACAGTTTGTAAAAGTCAACGCTGACGTCTGTTCTCACCCTTTTTGTCCCTTCGGAGCTCCCATCCTGAACAAACAGCACGGACAGCACTCCTCCATGTGACTCGAACAAATGTATATGTACTACTACTACTACTACTACTACTACTGCGAGTATATATGTACTATGACCACTACTGCTGTAAGTACTGTGACTATATAAGCCCCGAACCCCGAGTCTGTTCCGGTCAGACGAGAGAGGGCGAGTTTACGGGACGAAGAATCTGAGACCAGAGAGAAAGAGAGAGAAAGAGAGAGAAAGAGAGAACAGCTGAAAGAGAGAAAGAGAGGGGGGGGGGGGGTCACGTCTGGGAACAGCCACACAGCAGGTGGGGGGGGGGGGACTCGGAATTCTGAAGAGCTCAGAGGAGCCGAGCGAGGATTTGAGGATTCTGAGTCACTTTTAATATGAAGAGTTTTCATTGTGTTTGGTACGGAAGCCGAGAGGGTCACAACAAACGCAAACGCCACAACACAACAAAAAGCCACAACAAACCAAAAAAAGCCACAACGGAAATGACTGCGGGACTCGATTTTAATGCAAACGCCGCAACAAATACAAACGCCACAACACAAACGCAAATGCAACAACACATTAAAAAGCCGCAACACATTAAAAAGCGCAACAATTAAAAAAGCCACAACACAAACGCAAATGCCGCAACACATTAAAAACACAACAGTCGCAACACATTAAAAGCCACAACACATTAAAAAGCCAACACATTAAAAAGCCCACAACGGAAATGACCGCGGGACTCTATTTTAATGCAAACGCCGCAACAAATACAAACGCCACAAACACAAACGCAAACAACAATAAAAAGCAACACATTAAAAAGCCAACACAAACGCAAATGCCGCAACACATTAAAAAGCTGCAACACATTAAAAAGCAACACATTAAAAAGCCGCAACACATTAAAAAGCCACAACAGATTAAAAAGCCACACAGAAATGACCACGGGACTCTATTTTAATGCAAACGCCGCAACAAATACAAATACCACAACACAAACGCAAATGCCACAACACATTAAAATGCAATAACACATTAAAAAGTTGCAACACATTAAAAAGCCACAACGGAAATGACCGCGGGACTCTATTTTAATGCAAACGCTGCAACAAATACAAACGCCACAACACAAACACAAATGCAACAACACATTAAAAAGCCGCAACACATTAAAAAGCCACAACAGATTAAAAAGCCACAACAGATTAAAAAGTCGCAACACATTAAAAAGCCACAACACATTAAAAAGCCACAACACAAACGCAAATGCCACAACACATTAAAAAGCCGCAACACATTAAAAAGCCACAACGGAAATGACCGCGGGACTCTTTTTTAATGCAAACGCTGCAACAAATACAAACGCCACAACACAAACGCAAATGCCGCAACACATTAAAAAGTTGCAACACATTAAAAAGCCACAACACAAACGCAAATGCCGCAACAACACATTAAAAAGCGCAACACATTAAAAAGCCGCAACAAACACATTAAAAAGCCACAACGCAATTTTAATGCAAACGCCGCAACAATACAAACGCCACAACACAAACGCAATGCCACAACACAAAAAGCAACACATTAAAAAGCGCAACAGAAAAAAGCACAACACATTAAAAAGCACAAAAAGCCACAACATTAAAAACACAACAAATGACCGCGGGACTCTAAATGCAAACGCCGCAACAAATACAAACGCCACAACACAAACGCAAATGCCACAACACATTAAAATGCAATAACACATTAAAAAGTTGCAACACATTAAAAAGCCATAACACATTAAAAAGCCACAACAGAAATGACCGCGGGACTCTTATTTTAATGCAAACGCCGCAACAAATACAAACGCCACAACACAAACGCAAATGCAACAACACATTAAAAAGCTGCAACACATTAAAAAGCCACAACACATTAAAAAGCCGCAACACATTAAAAAGCCACAACACATTAAAAAGCCACAACAGATTAAAAAGCCGCAACACATTAAAAAGCCACAACAGATTAAAAAGCCACAACGGAAATGACCACGGGACTCTATTTTAATGCAAACGCCGCAACAAATACAAATACCACAACACAAACGCAAATGCCACAACACATTAAAATGCAATAACACATTAAAAAGTTGCAACACATTAAAAAGCCACAACAGGAAATGACCGCGGGACTCTATTTTAATGCAAACGCTGCAACAAATACAAACGCCACAACACAAACACAAATGCAACAACACATTAAAAAGCCGCAACACATTAAAAAGCCACAACAGATTAAAAAGCCACAACAGATTAAAAAGCCACAACAGATTAAAAAGTCGCAACAGATTAAAAAGCCACAACACATTAAAAAGCCACAACACAAACGCAAATGCCACAACACATTAAAAAGCCGCAACACATTAAAAAGCCACAACGGAAATGACCGCGGGACTCTTTTTTAATGCAAACGCTGCAACAAATACAAACGCCACAACACAAACGCAAATGCCGCAACACATTAAAAAGTTGCAACACATTAAAAAGCCACAACACAAACGCAAATGCCGCAACACATTAAAAAGCCGCAACACATTAAAAAGCCGCAACACATTAAAAAGCCACAACACATTAAAAAGCTGTAACACATTAAAAAGCCACAACACATTAAAAAGCCACAACAGAAGTGATCGTGGGACTCTATTTTCCGACGGACCGATGAAGCGGCAAGTGAAGAAGAAGAACGACAACGTGAAAAGTAAAGGAACGGAGAAGTTGGAAACGTAAGTAAAAGTAATTTATCGTTTTATCATTATGAGTTTGTGTTGTGGCGTTTGTATTTGTTGCGGCGTTTGCATTAAAATAGAGTCCCGCGGTCATTTCCGTTGTGGATTTTTTTTGGTGTGTTGTGGCTTTTTGTTGTGTTGTCGCATTTGTATTGGTTGCAGTGTTTGCGTTTGTTTTGACCCTCTCGGCTTCTGCAGTTTGGAGTTTGGTGTTTAAATGACACTTTCAGTCCTTCATGTTCATCACAGACGTGTTTATAAACGGACAGAGTTTACGCTGTCGCCGCCATGTGCCAAACAGGAAGTGCTCCAGGACGCTCTTCCGGCTCCAATACACGCATCAAGAATCTCGGACTTCCGGTCATTGTGCAATTCATACTGGGAAGGATTTTCCGAAAAAGTGAGCGTCAAACCTCCATGTTTGTTTTCCCAGTGGGATGTGTCTATTGACAAAGTCGATCTTTTCAAGTCTTTTGAACCATATCACTTTTGTTTCTGGTTCTGATATTGTCATAGTTTTAGTTTTGGGATTCGGACATCGTAATTGTGTGATTGTTGGATCCTAACAGTGGAAAATGACTCGAGAAATGTGTTTGCGAACTCCAGAAGTGCAAAAGTGAATCAGATGTGTGTGACTCAAACCTCTGTTCAAACTGTTTTTCTTCCCAACGGAATTGAAAAATAGTGAAAGGTGAAGGTGATGGGCAGGATTGATCCACAGGAAGAACCAAAAAGGAAACATTTGTCAGACTAAATCATCCTGAGTTTACAGAGAACATTTTGTATGTGGACCCGGGTCCCGGTCCAGACCCGGGTCCCGGTCCAGACCCGGGTCCCGGTCCAGACCACAGATCCTCTTCACTCGTTTGTTTGGTTTTGTTTTTATTTTGAAATTAAACTTTTTTAACCCGGGTCTGGACCGGGACCCGGGTCTGGACCGGGACCCAGGGGTCTGGACCGGGACCCGGGTCTGGACCGGGACAGATCTGGTGAGGACCTGAGCGAGTCTCTGATGGAGTCCAGCTGGTTTTTCCCAGCATGCACCAGGACACGCCCACCGACGCACATCTGGCACTCAAGCTAACGCCAACACACGGCTAACGCAAAACAGAACCAGACTGAGACCAAGACCAGGACTAGACCAGGACCAGGACCAGACCGAGACCGAGACCAGGACTAGACCAGGACCAGGACCAGACCAGACCAGGACCAAGGACCAGACCGAGACCAGAGACCAGGACCAGACCAGGACCAGGACCAAGACCAGGACTAGACCAGGACCAGACCGAGACCAGGACTAGACCAGGACCAGGACCAGACCGAGACCAGGACTAGACCAGGACCAGGACCAGACCAAGACCAAGACCAGGACTAGACCAGGACCAGGACCAGACCGAGACCGAGACCAGGACTAGACCAGGACCAGACCGAGACCAAGACCAGGACCAGGACCAGACCAGACCAAGACCAGGACAAGACCAAGACCGAGACCAGGAGACCAGGACCAGACCAAGACCAGGACCAGACCAAGACCAGGACCAAGACCAAGACCAGACCAGACCGAGACCAGGACCAGACCAGGACCAACCAGACCAGGACCAGACCGACCAAGGACCTAGACCACCAGACCAAGACCAGGGACCAAGGACCAAGACCAAGACCAAGACCAAGACCAGGACTAGACAGACCGGACCAGGACAGACAGACCAGACCAGACCAGACCAAGACCAGACCAGGACCAGACCAGACCAGGACCAGGACCAGGACCAGACCAGGACCAGGACCAGACCAAGACCAGGACCAGACCAAGACCAGGACCAGACCAGGACCAGGACCAGGACCAGACCGAGACCGAGACCAGGACTAGACCAGGACCAGACCGAGACCGAGACCAGGACTAGACCAGGACCAGACCAGGACCAAGACCAAGACCAGGACTAGACCAGGACCAGGACCAGACCAAGACCAGGACCAGACCAGGACCAGGACCAGACCAGACCAGGACCAAGACCAGGACCAAGACCAGACCAAGACCAGGACCAGGACCAAGACCAGACCAGACCAAGACCAGGACCAGGACCAGGACCAGGACCAGGACCAGACCACCAGACCAGGACCAAGACCAAGACCAAGAGACCAAGACCAAGACCAGGACCAAGACCAGACCGAGACCAGACCGAGACCAGGACCGACCAGAGACCAGGACCAGACCAAGACCAAGACCAAGACCAGGACCAGACCAAGACCAAGACCAAGACCAGACCAGACCAGACCAAGACCAGACCGAGACCGAGACCAGGACCAGACCAGGACCAAGACCAAGACCAGACCAG